TTTTTCACTCAAATAAATAACATTGTTCATGAGATTTGGAGGGTTTTAAAAATCTACACTTATTTATACTTTCATCAAGTATAACATAAGATTTTATAGTATCCACTAGTGTAAATATTTTAAATTGAAGATCGAATTCATTCATTGTATTCATATAGGGTCAATGAGTGTAGCTGTAAAAAATCATCAAAATCGGAGTCAAAATAACCGTTAAATCGTAATTTTTCGTTTATAACCGTCGAAAAGTTTTGTCTCATTACTTGATCTTTGAATGTTTGTTTTTTTGCAATTTTTGGCGTATGCGATCTCGAAGCATATATAAACAAGTTTGACGGTTGGATCGTTGAAATTAGTTTCGTAGGATGCGTATCCCATCAAAACGATAGATTCACTAACACTAAAGAGTTTATTTGTACTTTCATCAAGTATAACATAAGATTTTGTGGTATCCACTAATGTAAATATTTTAAATTGAAGATCGAATTCATTCATTGTATTCATTTAGGGTCAAGGAGTGTAGCTGTAAAAAATCATCAAAATCGGAGTTACAATAACCGTTAAATCGTGATTTTTCGTTTATAACCATCGAAAAGTTTTGTCTCATTACTTGATCTCTGAATGTTTGTTTTTTGCAATTTTTGGCGTATGCGATCTCGAAGCATATATAAACAAATTTGACGGTTGGATCGTTGAAATTAGTTTCGTAGGATGCGTATCACATCAAAACGATAAATTCACTAACACTTAAGAGTTTATTTATACTTTCATCCACTAGTGTAAATATTTTAAATTGAAGATCGAATTCATTCATTGTATTTGTTTAGGGTCAAGGAGTGTATCTGTAAAAAAACATCAAAATCGGAGTTAAAATAACCGTTAAATCGTGATTTTTCATGTATAACCGTCGAAAAGTTTTGTCTTATTACTTGATCTCTGAATGTTTTTTTTTTTTGCAATTTTTGGCGTATGCGATCTTGAAGCATATATAAACAAGTTTGATGGTTAGATCGTTGAAATTAGTTTCGTAGGATGTGTATCCCATCAAAACGATAGATTCACTAACACTTAAAGAGTTTATTTATACTTTCATCAAGTATAACATAAGATTTTGTGGTATCCACTAGTGTAAATATTTTAAATTGAAGATCGAATTCATTCATTGTATTCATTTAGGGACAAGGAGTGTAGCTGTAAAAAATCATCAAAATCGGAGTTACAATAACCGTTAAATCGTGATTTTTCGTTTATAACCTTCGAAAAGTTTTGTCTCATTACTTGATCTCTGAATGTTTGTTTTTTGCAATTTTTGGCGTATGCGATCTCGAAGCATATATAAACAAATTTGACGGTTGGATCGTTGAAATTAGTTTCGTAGGATGCGTATCACATCAAAACGATAAATTCACTAACACTTAAGAGTTTATTTATACTTTCATCCACTAGTGTAAATATTTTAAATTGAAGATCGAATTCATTCATTGTATTTGTTTAGGGTCAAGGAGTGTATCTGTAAAAAAACATCAAAATCGGAGTTAAAATAACCGTTAAATTGTGATTTTTCATGTATAACCGTCGAAAAGTTTTGTCTTATTACTTGATCTCTGAATGTTTTTTTTTTTTGCAATTTTTGGCGTATGCGATCTTGAAGCATATATAAACAAGTTTGATGGTTAGATCGTTGAAATTAGTTTCGTAGGATGTGTATCCCATCAAAACGATAGATTTACTAACACCTAAGAGTTTATTTATACTTTCGTCAAGTATAACATAAGATTTTGTGGTATCCACTAGTGTAAATATTTTAAATTGAAGATCGAATTCATTCATTGTATTCATTTAGGGTCAAGGAGTGTAGCTGTAAAAAATCATCAAAATCGGAGTTATAATAACCGTTAAATCGTGATTTTTCGTTTATAACCGTCGAAAAGTTTTGTCTCATTACTTGATCTTTGAATGTTTGTTTTTTGCAATTTTTGGCATATGCGATCTCGAAGCATATATAAACAAGTTTGACGGTTGGATCGTTGAAATTAGTTTCGTAGGATGCGTATCACATCAAAACGATAGATTCACTAACACTTAAGAGTTTATTTATACTTTCATCAAGTATAACATAAGATTTTGTGGTATCCACTAGTGTAAATATTTTAAATAGAAGATCGAATTCATTCATTGTATTTGTTTAGGGTCAAGGAGTGTAGCTGTAAAAAATAATCAAAATCGGAGTTAAAATAACTGTTAAATCGTGATTTTTCGTTTATAACCGTCGAAAAGTTTTGATTTATTACTTGATCTCTGAATGTTTGTTTTTTGCAATTTTTGGCGTATGCGATCTTGAAGCATATATAAACAAGTTTGACGGTTGGATCGTTGAAATTAGTTTCTAAGGTGTGTATCCCATCAAAACAATAGATTCACTAACACTTAAAAGTTTATTTATACTTTCATCAAGTATAACATAAGATTTTGTGGTATCCACTAGTGTAAATATTTTAACTTGAAGATCGAATTTATTCATTGTATTTATATAATATCAAGGAGTGTAGCTGTAAAAAATCATCAAAATCAAAGTTAAAATAATCGTTAAATCGTAATTTTTCATTTATAACTGTCGAAACGTTTTGTCTCATTACTTGATCTCTAAATGTTTGTTTTTTGCAATTTTTGGTGTATGCGATCTCGAAACATGTATAAACAAGTTTGACAGTTGGATCATTGAAATTAGTTTCATAGGATGCGTATCCTATCAAAACGATACATTAACTAATACTTAAGAGCTTATTTATACTTTCATTAAGTATAACATAAGATTTGTGGTATCCACTAGTGTAAATATTTTAAATTGAAGATCGAATTCATTCATTGTATTCATATAAGGTCAAGGAGTGTAGCTGTACAAAATCATCAAAATCAGAGTTAAAATAACCGTTAAATCGTGATTTTTTCGTTTATAACCGTTGAAAAGTTTTGTCTCATTACTTCATCTCTCAATGTTTGTTTTTTGCAATTTTTGGAGTATGCGATCTCGAAGTATGTATAAACAAGTTTGACGGTTGGATTGTTGAAATTAGTTTTGTAGGATACGTATCCCGTCAAAACGATAAATTCACTAACACTTAAGAGTTTATTCATACTTTCATCATTTTGATGGGATATGCATTGATGTTATACTTAATGAAAGTATAAATAAACTTTAAGCGTTAGTGAATCTTATCGTTTTGATGACTTGGAATAAATATATTAATTATTTATATATTTTAAGTGTTAATTAGACTATGTTTCAATTAGTATGTGATGATATTTAATAATAAAATTACATTTATGTTTTTTATTACGTATTTTATTTTTATTCAAGTTAAAATGTTATAAGAGATAAAAAAAAAAAGCTGGTTATTTTTTTTCTTTGGGTTAAACATTAGGCGGGAAATGGATGGATATAGGTTGCCAAATTTCCCAAACATTAGGTGGGAAATGGATGAAACTCTTGAAATATTAGGCGGGAAATTAAGTATTATAATTTTTTTATGTTTTTGGTATTTTTAAATTACTTGATATTTTTATTTTTAATTTGTTTTATGATTTTTAATCTCAATCCTTGCCTATAATATACTATAAAAATAAATAAATAAATAAATAAAACTTAAATTTTAAAATTTATATAGAATAATAATTAATAAACAATACATACATATTCATTATATCTATTGCATTTTATAGTAAGTTTTTTTTAGTAGTTTAAAAAATTAAAATCATCAAAATAGCATTTTTCTTATCGTGTCGAAACAGGTTACCCGCGTGTCACTTTCGTGTAAACCTGTTAAGGACCCGTTATTAACGGGTTATTATCGTGTGACCCGATAATGACCCGATTAGTTATCGTGTTGATCCGAAACCCGTTATTTTCGTGTCGTTTACGTGTCGTGTTAACGGGTCGTGTAATAAATTGCCAGGTCTACCTTCTTCCATCGCTTGTGTTTTTCTTACTTTTTTTTTTTTTTGTATGATAGGATTTTACGAAGTATTTTAATAACCAAACATTAAACAACCACAACAAGTCACAATGAGCCACATCTTAGTATTAACCTCAATACAAATATATATCGTATTTGCATTCGTCAGAGACATCCAAGTAAGTGGAGATGAAATGTCATTAGATCAACTCATCGTAAGGTCTTGCAATGTGATTTTTAAAGTTCAAGTGAGGGAACAATGATGTTGTAATTCTTCCTAAAATCTAGATGTCACATATTGACATTGACTGTGACATTAAAGGTCACCTTCTCAAACTCATTCGTTTGGCAGTGAGGATATATTACATTAGATTTTTTTTTTTTTTTCAAATACATTTTTGACAAGAAGGCTACTTAATTAATACAATGTAGGAAAGAGATTCAAACTTAGGTACAAGAGGATCGGTGCACTGCGGTGATCAACTGGGGAAAAAACCTACTGAAGAAGGGCAATAATAATAGAACATCTGAGTTGCAATTAGCAACACATGTTATTAGAAAAGATAATCGTCATCACCATAAATAGGAAATGAAAATGTCACCAGATATAAAGGGCTGTATTGAAGAAATTATATACAATGTGGGGAGTAAGAAGAAGAAATTATAATGATTTCTTAACACATATCCATGACCAGACTTTGTGTTGAGCTCCATGCACCGAGCTGAGGAGGCTAAGGTCTCGTTTGGTATTGTTTTTTTTCATTAAAAACTGCTTAACTTTAAAGTTAAGCAGTAAAAAAGTGTTCGGTAAAATTAAAATATCATTCTTATTTTAAAAGCAATGGATTCCAGACAACATCTTTTAAAAGCAGCATGTAGGTTGCTTTTAAAAGCTATTTTAATAAAAAGCAGAGTTGGTTCTTTAATAATTATTTTCAATTGTTGTAAACCTTCATTAATTTTTTTAAATGACATTGTTTAACCTTCTACACACATTCTATCCCTTAGAGAATAGGGTAAACGTTATCACCTACCACTACAAATGCTAACCTTACACCCTTGTCACCACCACCGCCATAACCACAACCTTCACCACTGTCATCACAACCATCATTGCCACCACCATTACCGCAACCGCCACCATTGCCACCACAACCACAACTACCATTAGCACTATCATTGCTGCCACCGCCGACACCACCATAACGGCAACCGCCACCATTGCCACCATCCTACCACCATTGTTACATTTCCACCCCAACCAACACATCATTAGCACCACCACCACCTCCACCGCAACCACCACCACCATTACCATCACTGTTGTTGTTGCCCCCACTCCTACTATTATGTCCATTTGTCATTGTTTACAATTATATCACACTTTTACATTAAATTTTACCAAACGCTTTTCCACTGCTTTTCATACTCACAACACTTTTAAAATTCAATTAACCAAATGCTCATCAGCTTTATTTTACAGTTGATTATTCTTAAAGCACAGCAGAAGCAGTTTTTTAGAAAAGCACAACAATCCCAAACTGCCTTAAGCAGTGGCTACTGCTTGTTCCTCCACTGCCTCCGGTTGAAGGGTGCAGATGAGGTTACGGTCACCATACACATTGTCAACGCGTCCTGATACAATAGTCAACGAAATTCAATCGTCAATAAAAGCAATCAGATAGCACCAAAATGAAAGTATAGCAAACACTTAGCAACTTCCATGCCATTGTAGTTTATCTTTGGTGTAAATTGCATACCTGTAGTAGGCCAGAACTTTGAAGAACGGAGCAAGGAAGCGGGGAAGGCTGCATATTCCCGGGAATATGGCTTTGTCCATGCATCTCCCATGAGCAGTGATGGCGGGTGAGGAGCTTTCTGCTGGAGTTCAAAAACCATTTTTATGTAAAATGAGTATCTGATAGTTCTTGGAGGAGAGAGATGAACAGAACTTTTACTTTAAGGACATTGTTGAGAATATCAGCTTTTCCTTTCTCAGTCTGAGCAATCTCTTCTCTGATGGAAATTAGAGCATCACAAAACCTGTCGCAAGCAAGAAAAACTAACATACTTTAGCTCGAAGAAAAACATCAGAGAAAGAAATTAAATGAAATCTTTCTGTTGGGGTGTACCTTGCTTTCACTTTCTGTTGGCTCAATCATGCGAGTGCCAGGAACTGGCCATGACATTGTTGGTCCATGGAACCCGTAGTCCATAAGACGCTTGGGGACGTCCTCAGGCTCTATCCCACCAGTATTCTACAAGGAAAAAAAGAAGCGGCAGAGTTCAATTAGAAAGAGATTGAAAAAGCGGACAAATCAAGGCATATGTTAAGAATATACCTTAAATCCTCTCAAATCAACAGTGAATTCATGGGCAACAGTTCCATTGACACCACGGAAAAGAATGGGGTAGTAATTCTGTAAGAAATGACAGACAAATTTAGCATACAGAGGAAATTTAACATAGAGTATAACCGTAAGCTCAATTTGTAAAGCAAATCAAGAGTGAAGAAGCAAACTGGAACCTCCAAGCGTTTGGCCATGCAGTTTGCATTCAGAATAGCTATGATGATATCTTTGATGCATTGGTGAGTCCCCTGGACCCCATCATGCCCATGTAAGTATAAGACATTGGCAAAATAAGTGCAGAGCCCAAGGTGCGGCAGAGATGGTTTCGACAGGCTGAGACTTGTCGAGGGCAGGAAGGCCACCGGTAGATACCTTGAGTACAATGGCATAATTTTTTTTGTCTGTTCATATTTTCCTCATCCCCCAAGTCAAGTGCAAGAACTCTCTCTCTAGTGTGAGTCCCACAATTTCTTACCATAGAGTTCACTCGATCCTGACCGTTAGATTTTGTCTGATGAGATTGAATATGGAGATGTTGGACAACCTAGATGATGGTGTTTTATGGCTCTTTGGGACCAACAATGGCATTTGCCTTATGCAAGTGGACTTCACTCCGTCTTATATGTTCATTCTTCAAATAGGGATAAGATTGTAAGAAGATAAACATCTTTCCTTTTGTGTTGATTGTGTATTTATGAATCAAATATTGTGCGTTTAAGAAGCTGACAGACGTAACACATGTATATTGAGAATGAGAATACGATGACCGTAAAGTATTTGTTTAAATGGAGGGGTGAAACAAAACACAGAAAGAAGAAAAGCGGTCCTCACCGCTATTTTATTTGTTGTTGTGCATATTTGGTATTTATGATCTACATATCATATCATTCAAAACTTGGCCGTTGTAACACATGTAGATCTGCATATTGAAAATCTGATGAGTGTTAAGTGTTTGTTTGAATTGGAGGTGTAAAATAAAACATGCATTTATTGTGTATTTATGTATAAACATGCATTTATTGTGCGTTTAAGAAGTTAACAGACGTAACACATGCGTACTGAGAATGAGAATATGACGATTGTAAAGTATTTGTTCAAATGGAGAGGTGAAATAAAACATTCCCTTTTATGTTGTGTAGATTTTGTATTTATGATTTGCGTATTGTAGAATTTAAAACTTGATAGCTGTAACACATGTATAGTGAGAAGACAACTATCCTAAGCTATTAGATCAGCTTTGGTGTTTACTAAGTTTAATATATAATCTCTCTCGCATTGTAGATAAGATATTTGATATGGGAGCTCCCACTCTAAAGTATTTCATTAGGATACTCATTCTATAAATGGACTATAAAAAAAGCAAGGAGATGAAAAAGCTTGTTACGTCTCGAATTTAGGACAGTGAAAAAAATAACCCCGTGTTCGGTGCGAAAAAATGAAAATAAAACGAAATTAAATTTCTCTATTGTACAATAAATTTTGAAACTTTACAAGTGTACAAGAATAATAAAAATATTATGCCGCTCTTTTAACATAATCTCTACTCTTTTACTCTTCATTAATGTTGTACCGTGTTCGAAATTTTGGTGATATGGATGCTGCTTCTCCTACAACAAATCACATAAGATAAATATTAGTAAATATTATTTCATATTGAAAGAATAAAATAGATAAAACTGATGTACTAACAATAAAATACTTATTTTTATAGGTAGATAACGCTATTCGTCGATCCTTGATTAGAACAAGATTATAGGTTGAGTCTTGTAATCACTGTCCTTAAGAGTATATTTCCTCCCTCTAAAACAATGTCTCGGTGTAGCAGGTTATGGCGCCCTACTCTCCAGGATACAACAACCTATGATCCTTGTAAGCATACACTCATAATACTTAGATTGGCTGAACAACTCGATTCTTTCCCTAAGTATGGAGAAAGTGAGAATATAATAAAGCTTTCAAGAATGATGGTTCAAAAGGATAGAAGAAGAAGAAAAAAGAAGGGGAGATGATTGTAATCTTTCATTCTTGGCAATAGAGATTAACAAGTATATATATATAAGGTTGAAAACGTTAGGAAATCAAACCCTCAAATTTCAATACTAATCAATAACGTTACAAAGTGATATTATCGGATGCAATATGAGTGTTGAAATGAAACGGTCCAATAGAAGTTAAAGACCTTGAATTTTATAATAAAGAGTCGATATAAACACGATTTGAATAGCAGTTAAGAAGAGGAAAATATCTATATCAATTATATGATAATAAACACTTGTATTTTGAAATATCCTTAAAATTTCCAACATACCGAACTTGCAAGGTCTAAAATGTATAAGGGAAAGGACATTAAGTCTTATCAAAGATAATTGTCAAGGTTAAACCGACATGTAATTCAATCATATCTCATGATATCAAATATCACCAACATAAATTATATTTCATAAATACAGCTTAACTTCATTACAGTGACAATTTATCTCAAATGCAAAAAACCTGCCTTTTGCTTGATAATTTCTCACAAATGAGTAACCCTTACAATACTTTCTTGGGGAAACTTGAAATAGGTCCAATTTTATAGCCCAATATTAGAATTAGTCCAATTTTTAGTTATTTTTGACTTAGCTCCAATGATTAGGATTCCATGTCAGCAATTTTTCTGATTAGGTTGATTTTTTTTGCATTGTTATTACTATTTTACCCTCTTATAGATTTGGCACGTTCTCCATATATTACCCACGTTTTAAATTTTTATCAGAATTCAAATTCATTGTTTAGTGGTCTTTTATCTTTCTTCCAGATTTTTTGATAACAATTTTTGAATTTGAATTTCTTATCAATCTATATTTAAGGAAGGCTTAAACTTATCTAGTAGACAATGAATTCGGATGGACACCTTCAACTAATTCTTCATCGCCTCTGCCGAAAAGACACCTTCGACTAATTCTCCATCAGCTTTTTGTTGTGCAATATACATCACAGCAACTCCACAGTCAGAATCCCCCTAAGACCTTTCTATCATCTCTCATTGATATGCTTCTCATTTATTTAAAAAAAAAAAACCAATGCACAGAAGGTGTTTGATGTTATGCCTCTTTGAATAGTGTACTCTTTAATTTCCCGTAGAAATTTATTGTTCTCTTATTGTCACTATCCTTGTCACTTATTATAGATTTCGAGTCGCCTGATGATAGCAAAAGGAAGAAATTCATTGTGATTGGAGGTGTTTCAGCATTATTCCTCATTTTCTTGATTTTGGGCAACTTAACCACTCTCAAAATCCTTTCTTCCAATATCTTCTTACTTATATTTTTCACGTCTGCAAGACATCTCTCATAAAAACCTGTAAATGCACCTTTTCTTTTCCTACTATTCAGGTTAATCTCTTCCCCTTCATCAGGCAACCCAAAAATCTCAGATATATCTTTGGCAGTTATTGTTGCAGTTATTCCACCAAAAACAAATGCTTTTTGTACTGGGTCGTAGCACTTCAATATGGACACAATATTCGCATCACATTTCTTGCAAACACCATCAATGATCAAATTCTCATGGTACGCTTCGAACAACCTCCCGAACGGTGTACGATTCATTAACTCAAGATGCGCATTTGTCACACTAAGTCTCATTTCTTCCATAACGCGACGAAACTTCAAAAGGTCAGACCTGTACTCCAGGCTTATCTTTTTTTTTCTCTCCATGCAAAACATCTTCAGCTACAAGTAATACGAAGTCTACTATAACATGATTATTCCAAAACATACTAAATAACGCCCAAATGATAACATATCAAGCCAAACTACATATCATATTTATATAAGTAATGTTAAAAAGAGACTAATTTAACAATTTCAACTAATTATTCTAAAAGTAACTCCACAAAGTAAACGACGTATCAATTTAAACTACCCAGGTTAGTATTGAAGTTCCAATGACTAAAACACCAATTATTAAAGATGAACTGCAATACCTGTAATCTAGGTATCACAGGCCATTACTAATAATGTAATGGTAAA